CTTTTTTGACTGACCGTGGATCCTATTTTCCTGTGTCTTCGCACATCTGGTAACTTTTTTTATTGTTCATTGAATATTGTAAGTGATACATTAGAGAGACTCTGGGTTCCGTGACTTTCCCTCCGAAGGGTATTGATTCTTGTTCAATTGCTGGTTAATAGCCTTTAAATTCTGTAGGTTTGGTTTTGTGCTTTATTATGGGAATCTGTAGAAACCCAAGATGCTTCCCAAGCACCTGTGATTGTCAGGACCTGACCTGCAAAGTCTGTCTGCCCGGCAGATCTTGTCAGGGCCCGGGTTTCGGCTTTGCTGGGGCGGCAGTAGAGCAGTGGTCTTCAACTGGACGTAATTTTCTCCCCAGGTGACATCTGGCAATATCTGAAAGCATTTTGGGTTCTCACGACAGGTTAAGAAGGAGCAGTTAGTGATAGAGCACAAGGATGCTGCTAGATATCCTGCAACACACAGACCAGCTCTGCATAAGAATTATCAGGCCCAAAATATCGGTAGAGCCAAGGCTGGAAATCTCTGGCTAACTTAGGCCTCATTCTCAGTGTGGCCCTTACTTCTGCCTGGGGGTTAACAAGGTGTCAAGTCCCCCTGCCTGGACTGGAAGTCCCCTCCAGTCACCTTAGTCACCCCTGGAGTCTAACACTCTGCTGAGTTCCTCTCTGGTGAGCCTAAAGCCATCATGCTCTTGGGATGCTGTTTTTTGATGGGGGGATTTTTTTAGTTCATTTTTTAGAAATTTTCTCAATGTAAACCTTTACTTTCTTTTGAGCATTGAACTCAAATGTGGACTCTCTGCAAGTATTATCATCATTATATTTTTATTATGAAGTGTATTCGATGATGTTTATGTGTGACTTTGTCAGATAGCAGATTCTTAAATTCAAAAGTTAGTTTAATCTGATGATACAGAAGTTATATATCCCGGCTCTATACCTGAAAAATTACCTGTTTGGTTAGGAATTAATTTACACGTGTGAATGTGGTTTTTGCTATTGGCATGGAAACCTGACCCTTTGCATTACGTTTCATTAACATCTTTATATTTTCACGTGTACTGTCGGTTTCTCCTAATAACAGAGTTTAATGATAGCACATTGCAATCAAGGAGCCAAAGTATAAATGAATAAAGTGAAAGGCTAAAGACTCCTAACCTTCCCCAAAAAGTTGATGAGAAGGTACCATGGATGAGATACACCCCCTCCTTGAATCAAAGAGCGTATCCAGGTCGTTCAAAAGCATGTTTTGTCTCCAGCCCCATGTGGGCCCCTGTTGTCTTGGCGCTTCGTGCCGGCCAACCCCGTGTCCTCTGACCCGCGCGTTAGTCCCGGGCTCAGCGCAGAGGCCGGTAACAGGGTTTTGCCTTTCTGGCCCATGGAGCTCTCTTTCTCTCCCCGCTCTTCATTTCCATAATGTCACACGCAAAACAACTGTTATCCTCACTCTAGAAATTACGCTTCCTTGCATGGCTTAGAATCTACCACCTTCCCTAGCGAAACACAAGCATTCTGGGGAATCAGAAGACCAAGACATTCTGATTCAAATAAGTGGAGATAATATAAATGGGCCAAATATTCGGCATAAACAATATGAAGGTGATGTGGAAATATTAACTGATGTATTGCATTCATTTGACATTTGTGTCTTTACCATGGTGTTTTTTTGATTTTCTGAGCAGAGTACAGAGTTGAACATGTACTTGACTTTCCACGGGTGTTCAAAATTGTTGCTTTTGTTTTCTTTGCAAACTTAGGAAAAATAACGTCAATTTAATTTTCATTTAATTTGTTTTGCTCAATATAAAACAAAAGTAGTACTCAGTTTTTATTTGATGATTAGAATAACGGCCAAGCTTACCTAGGCTAGAAATATGGGTAGTAATTTGAATGTTCATAATCCATTACTCATAAAAGAGAGAATTAGCTATATCGAAATATACATAAATATCTAAGAAGAATAATATTTGAAACCTAGTAAACATGTAACAAAACTATTTTTTTAAAAAAATACTCTCTTAGTGTTTATCATTTCCATGCTATTCCCTGTTAGGCGGCTGGCTACAAAAGAACTTCTTTAATGATCAGAATCAATATGTTATTCTTAAGCTGCCGTTCATTTGAACCATAAAATTTGTGTATTTAAATAAATCATGAGTCAGTAATTTTTATGTTATAAGGAAAAATGGCATCCTATAGCTAAATATCTTGAACACCTAACTTCTGCTTATTTTACTAGTTACCACATTATGCTTTGATTTTAAATAAAACAAATACATGTTTTCTCAAAAAGATCACAAAATTAGTACTTGCAAGGTACATGTTTATTTTCTAATAACTGTTATGGATTTTACAGGCAAAATAGTATCTTGATCTTTCTATTACATTCAGCAACACCAAAAACTCCACAACTCTGGTGTCAATATCAACAATTACTAAAAATCAAGCAAGCAATTTACAATGATCTGGAATTAAGGAAAATGGATCCAAAAGGCATGTAATTACAATAACGATAAAAGAGTATTTATGCATTAAGACACAAATAGCCAACGTAAATTTAATACCTCAGGCATTTTTCTAATTGTGTTATTTATACTAATTTTGGAAACTGTGGAGCACATTGGCCAAGTCACCAATAGTTGCGAAAAAGAAAACACATAAAAGTGCCTATTTTGCTAACAGTACATGTTCAGCTCTTTAGCTTTAACGTTGTGTGGTACTGTGATCCCTTCCACAGCATTAGGAATCAATACTACATGTGCCTCAAGCTTTTCCACAGATGAATGATCTGAGGAAGATGCCCTCGTTTCAGAAACTGAGGTCATTACAGTTTATCCTCACTTGAAATGTTTCAGGCCTGGGGGATGTAAAGAGCGTCCAGTCGCGGACTACTGGATGAACAGCGACATCTAGTGGTCATGATAATCCTAAATAAACATTTTAAAAGTGTGAACTCGAGGGTTTTCATAAAGAGAAGTCGCCACGATGCATCACCTTTAATATTGACATAAGCAGATTTCCATTGAAACTGTGCCAGAAAATTACAAGCATTTCCTAGTAGAATTTCTCTGATTCAGTAATAATATAAACTTAAGGAAAAGCCAGCACTGGGCTTCTAATCTTTTTTCTTAATCAACAACCCTTACATAATAGGTAAATACCCTTTGTAGATTGTTATAAAAATCCAGTTATGATTTCTTCACGTCCGAGTTCCTCTAACAGGGTAACATAAAGAACACTATGAACTACTGAATAATCAGTTTTGCGGTTCTTTTATGAACACGTAGAGTGGCATATGTCAGCAACAAATTCAGACACTCCGTATGACAATGCGCTGAGGGGCAAAATTAAGAAATTTTAAAAGCTGCCAGTTTGTTAATGACTATTGGATTGAGTTTACACTGGAAATGTTATTAATTTTTTGTCAGTAGGGAACATCCAGTTCATCAAGATTTTCTAAAACTGGATCATGAAATGGAATTAGAGCATCGTTTCACCATCAAAAAAATCATTGTTTTCTAAGTAAGACTGTTTCCTATTAATGAAAAAATCAGTACATTCTGTGACTATTTTGCAAACCCAATATGAAGCAGTCCAAGCAAGCTTATGTGGTTGGCTGGAATCTTAACTCCTCAATCTCTATACATGCCTCCTGCCAGAGAAATAAAACTGCTCCCAAGGCCTTTCTGCCCAGCTCTAGAAAAACTCCATCTTCCTGTCACCATGAAAGATTTGTCTTGAGCATAAACTGTAAGGTGTGGTTCCATGGCTGTTTATGGGATGCATGGGGATCATCCCATCCACATGGACTGAGGTTCCCCCAAATGCCTCGGCATATAGGAATGAATATTGGGGGACCTTACTATCTAGCTATTTATTTCATCTTCCTTCTGTAACCTTCTAAAGCTTCGTTATGACCGTAACAGATGCAAGGCCTGGACGAGAGTTTTGAGGTTAACACACCAGCCTCCCCAAATGCAGAATGGGCACATGTAGTACGCACAGATCATCAAAAATCTCTGCCCAGCCACTTGCCATGCTAGTGATTAGCTGGGACATTCACCTGATGCCACTGATGTGCATAAAGGGGGCCGCAGAGGCCAAGCCTCCAGTGACTGGACGTGACAGTCCATGGGAATGATATCTCACAGGCACCACTGAACCGGGGAACCATGAGAAGAAAGGAAGCATTCTGACATCACTACAGATTGTCATGTAAATACGAGGCAGCCGTGGTCCAGGAGGCATCTCACACCAAGCGTAAAAGCAGTTCATCTTATTAAATGAATGGGTGTGATTCACATGCCTTTAAAATTAACACTCTGGTCAAAGGAGGTACCGTGAGTGTAATTCCCGGGGTTTTCTGCAGCCCGCTCCCCCCAGTCACTTCTTAGCCGCCTTCTCCCAAGGTTCTCAACTACAGCAGGGCGTGTGGGCAGTGGGCACAAGGAGTCGCGGTGACAGGCAGCCGTGAGCGGTCGGGAGGCACCTGGACGTTGCATTCTACTGCTCGGCACTTTACAGCACGGGCCAGGCCTCCCTGTGCTCCCTCCCTTATTTCCGCCGGAAACTAGCAGCACTCATTTGAAGCACTGCTGTGTCCTATGGCTGTCTGAACTCCTGTGCTGTGTGACAAAGGTGACTTCTGAATTCCGAGGATAGTGCCACTCACTACTCAGCATCTCTAGATAGTCTTGGATGACGAGCTCAGGTTATTATTACCGTCTACTCATAATAATAACCACCACCCCCCAAATAATCAGAACTTGAACTGGTATTTGAGTTAAAGGTCTATGTCTACTTATCAGCATTTATACATCTGGACCACGTGCATGTTGGGGATAGATTAGATTAGCTCGGGTTTGAAAATTGGCCATCTCAAAGTTGCCAGCCCACAAAACATTTCCATCTCCTCCCATAAAGCACCCACAGAGGAAAGGAAAGAAGGCCTTCCGCTGGTTACCCGGGTCATCTTCACTGGGCCTGGCAGGGTGGACAGGGTGAGCTAAGGGTGGGTGAGTTGCCAGCACTGGATGCCTGTAAGCCTAAAAATAATTCGGTCTGGGTCTGAGGGCTAATATCATGCTTCCGAGTCTCTTTCTGAAAAGCATAAAGCCGAGATACCCGACTCCCGCGAGCAAGCCCACCGCGAGCGTGGTGCCCAGAACCTTCGGCGCCCTTTTCCTGGCCACCCGGAATGCGGTCGGCAGCACCGCAGAGATTAAAATATTGTTGACATGTCCTAGAACTTTGTTAAACGTCTTCCTCTTCAGGACACGGTCGTAATAGGTTTCCAAGTTCGGTCGCTTTCCGTTCCCCCAGTTCCTCCTCGCAAACCCCAGGAACTTCAGTCGGTGCAGGGTGACAGCGAGCGACACGTCCGCCAGGGTGAAGGACCCTCCGCAGAGCCAGGGCTGGCGGCCCTCTTCTACCGGAGAGAGGGACAGGGGCAGTTAGGGCGAGCGCCGCACGCGGACCCCGCAGCTCTCTCGTCTTGGGCGTGAGGGCCGGTGCGGGCTCAGCAGGAGCGTAAGGCCGTGGCACATTTTGAGCGTCATACTCAGTGAGAAATTTATGCTAAAGACGAAGTGCATGCAAACGTCTCCCAAGCTCAGGGGGACGCGCTTGGCATCGGCCACCCGCCCAAGTCTCCCGATGAGACAGGAGCCGCCTGAGCTCAAAGCCTGCCTGCTATTTTGTGAGGGATGCTAGGGACTTGAAGGCCTCCAGGCCAGAGGCGTCAACGGCCACCTCTTTCTAGCTGAGGAAAACGACAGGTGAGCTTTGGGAAAACCCATACAGTTGGGCCCGAATGGTGAGTGCCGCTCTCGGGTACCCCTTCAAGCCTGCAGCACCCCTAGCATGAAGCAAGCTTCAGGGAACGTGGCCTTCAGCGTTGTCGTCAGGTGGTCGGTGTGCTTGCCCTGGGCAGTGGCTCCCTCACGGGGTCAGGGCTGCGGGCAGAGGCGTGGACGCCGCCATCCAGCCCGCCCGACACGTGTGCCGGCCCCCATTTTAGACTGGACTGTGGATAAGAACGTGTCTCCAGACCTAAGGGAAAACTCGAGGCCACATTTCAGCAATTACTCTGGTGACTCAACCAAACTGACCTCTGTAATTACAGGTTTGTGAAACAGGCCAGGTTGGAACTTCTCAGCCACGAGTTAAATCGTGTAGAAAAACTCTCCGCCAGTCACATTTCACAGGGAATGCAGACTGAGTTCCAATCAGACACCTGGGTTTTGCTGAATTCAAGGTTGCTGTTGCTCTCCTAACTTAAACTGCCCACGAAAACGACAACAGACAGGTCGCGAAATGTTTCCGATGGCGTCGCGAGCTGTCCCCGCGCGCCCCCGGCCGTCCCCGCACACCCCAGGCCGTC